GACCATTAACATGGAATCGGGTAAAAAACAAATGTGATCTATCTATTTGAGCCAATAAAAACCATACACATGACATTCTGAAATCTATAAGAAAATTGCATGGCAATCGCATAAATATTGAAAGTTTGGTGCACCATTTACCAAAAATCTCAATATGGACCGATTTCCAGGAAAACTTCATAGATGCCAAACTGGACTGAATTCAGTACGCTGTGCAAAATTTCGTATAAATCGGACCATTATTGGGAGCTTGGTGCACTATTTACATAAAATCGGACGAAACTATATATGTGTGCTATATATAAATTTGGACCGATTTCGACAAAACTTCGCATACATCAATCTGGACTTCACAGTTGTCAAACTCGATTAAATTCCGTACGCTGTGCTACATTTTGTCCCAATCGGGCAAACATTTTCAGTTTGGTGCACTATTTACCTAAAATCGGACGAAACTATATATGGGAGCTATATCTAAATCAGAAACGATTCCAACAAAACTTCGCATACATCAATCTGGACATAATTCAATACTCTGTGTAAAATTTTGTCTCAATCGGACCAATATTGGCAGTATGGTGCTCTGGTTACATAAAATTGGACGAAACTATATATGGGAGCTATATCTAAATCTGAACCGATTTCAACAAAACTTGACACATACCAATCTAGACCTAATTCAATACTCTGTTAAAAATTTTGTCTAAATCGGACCAATATTGGCAGTATGGTGCACCATTTACATAAAATCGGACGAATATATATATATATATATGGGAGCTATATCCAAATCTGAACCGATTTCTTCCAAATTCAAAAATAACGATTCAAGTAACAAAAAAATCAGTTGGGCCAAATTTCATGACGAATACTATGATTTTGTTGCCGCTATTAATTTTGCACAGAAAAAGTGGTTATTTGACCACATTTCAATATTTTTGGAAGTTTGTGATGGTTTTTCAAAAAAAGTTATTATCATTGGGTAGCAAATCTTCCTACGCAACATTTTCAATATTTACTTAAGTTCCAGGTCAGGCCCCATATAACAGAATCCCCCATGGATGTGATCCACAGTCAGGTCTAGATATAGTGAATTAAGGACCGTTTACAGTATCCAGATTGTTAAGTTCATTGAAAGAATTCACGAATAGAGGATCCCTACATCGAGGTGGAAAGTGAGCACCTACTAGTAAGTGCCGTTTGTTGTTGCAGGATTTGATGGCTATAAGAGCCGCCTGACTATCCACAAAGATAGTCACCGGTTCAAAGATCTCTGCATCCAGACTTTTTATCAACTCCAAAGATTTTGTTCATGCAGCCTTAGGACAGTACGCGTTGCCTGACACTTATTGCTGAGACCCAGAGGGATTAAGTTCAGCATTGCGTTCAGAGCTGCTTGTGGGTTGCTCCTCACGACTCCAGTTATTTGAATCGTGGCGGCTCTTTGTACCTTGTCTAGTTTGCTGGATGTTGACTTATGGCGCAGACAGTGCCACCAAACAAGAGAACCATAGGAAATGATGAACCTTACCACGGTGTTATACATCCAGTGTATAGTCGATGGATTTAGCGCCCAACTTTTCCCAATGGTATTCTTTCATGCATAGAGTGCAATCTGTCCGTTCCTTAGCGTTCCTGTTCCATCGTAATTGACAGGGTTGTGTCAAGGTATTTTGCTTTTGGGCGTCTGATGAAGCTGCACTCCATCCAGTGTTGGTGGACCAAAGTCGAGCTTACGTTTCCTAGTGAAAATTACTAGTTATGTCTTTGTTGGATTTACTCTAAGGCTGTTAGCCTTGGCTGAGCGTGACAGTGTCGATAAGGCACTTTATCTATCCAACAAGTTTCAGGAATGCTAACTTTTTTAAGTGAGTGGTTAACGGGCTCAAATTTGACGTTGTTGAAGGCTCCTTCTATATCAAAGAAGGCGGCCAAGATGTCAGGCAATGATGATAGGCTAATGGGTCTATAGTTCTTTGTACAGAGTGCCTTGGTTTACCAGCTTTGGGAATGTAAGTAACCTTTACCTCGTTACATAGACCTGGAACGCACGAGAGAGTCAAATACGCCGTATAGATCTTCTCAAGGATCAAATATAAAGCATCGCCGGTGTAATACCATCTGGTCCTGGTGACTTATATTTTTTAAATGTGTTGACTGTCCAGCGTATCTTATTTCTGCTAACCACCTTGCCAATGGGATCCAAATCTATAGTGGCAAGAGGTTGAGTGTCATCGCATTCAATGTTGATGTGGATACATCTTTGCAACCTGAGAAATGGGTCTTTGAACCAGAGTCTCAGAACCAGAGTCCGTCCACGCTCCATCTTATTTCTTGAAACTCCCGATGGATTTCGGATCCTTGGATAGTAATCTTCGAAACCTAGCAGCGTCGTTGGCCTCTTTCTATCGACTCACAGAAATTTATCCAAGACTTTTTCTTGGCACGCTTAATCTCACTCTTATATTTGTTGAAACTTGCTTTATAGGAGTTCCAGTCAATATCGAGTGAGCTACCTAAATCTTTTGACAAAAATATTTAAAAATATTTTAACAATTAATATTAAATGCTATAATCGACTTTTAATCGATTTTTTATATAAAAAAGTTTTAAGAAAATTCACATCAGTTTTTATAATTTTGTGTTAAAATATAATTAAAAATCTAACCCCTCAAAAGTAGTACTAAATGGAGAAAAAATTATCATTAAAAGAAAACCAAAACACAAATTAACCCGAACAAAATAATTTAAAACATTTTGTCATTGGAATATAAAAGCTTTAACCTAAAAGAAAATTAAAAAAATATTAAAATTATTAAAAAACAAAACGAAAATCCCAAATCCATAACACCTTAAAACATTTCAAAATAATCTTAGTGGATGTTTAATGTTTTTTTATATCATAAAGAAAAAAATATAAATAACAAAATTTGATAAAAACAACAAAATACAAACAAACATATTAAATTAAGTAAATTATTTTTCTAACTTTTTAAATGTTTTTTATGTATAACATACTTTACATTTTTAAAATGAAAAAAAAGAAATCACAAAACAAATGGAATATATTTTTTAATAAATTAAATTAGTTGATTGCATTAAAAAAACAACAACAAAGAAGTAACTCAATGTACGATGATTTTTTTTGCATTGAAATTGAATTGCTAAGACACATGTGTTCGCTCCAAAGAAACGAACGAACAACTATTTTATTCCAAAAAAAAGTATCCCCCACTTTTTAGAGCAACAACAACCACTTAACATGGTCTGTTTTTTGTAACGCTTTAATTCGAACCTTAAACCTTATTAAATTAAGAAAACTTTTTTAAAATCGGCAATTTAAAATGCAAACTTTTTATCCTAAAAAATAATAATAATAAAATATAACATAATCATAATTTCGTTTTTTGAAACAAAATTGGTAAAAACACTACTATTAACTAATGTGTTTTTTGATTGAGACTGTCTTTATAAAACCAAAACAAACAAACAAACAAACAAAAATTTGGTAACGAATATTTAACCTTAAAATACTCTAAAGTTAAACAATTTAATAATTAAGTCGAATAATTTGAAAGAATGAATGAATTTAAACTATTGGAATTGGCCCTTAAATAAATGTGTTGAACTTTTAATTACACTTCAACTAAACTAATATTAATTTTCTAATACTAAAATCAATGCCTCTGAATTATAAGAAAATTAAACATAACCCAAATGAAAAATATAAGTACTAGTGGAAGATTGGTTCTTTCTTAAAAATGGTAATCCAATATTTTTTAAACTATCCAATTTCCTTTGCCTCGATATTTATTTATGTCAGAAATAAAATATAATTATTTCATTTGATTTAATCAAAGCTTTATATAACTAATTTAATTTTTATATGAAAAAAAACATGACGCTTTACAAATACACTCACACAACAAATGTTTTCTTCTAAATAAAAATTAATTTTTTTTATCTGCACCATTAAAACTCTTAACAAATTGTACTAAAATAATTATTTTTATAAATTCCCCCTTTAAAGCATAAGTTTTAGTAAACAATATAAATAAAATATTTTTTTTTTTGAATATTTGATATTTATGTGGAGTCTTTGTGTATGACCCATCAATACAAATCTATACACATTTATTAACAAATTAATAAAAAAAGGAAATCCCATAACAAATAATAAATGGAACCAAAAACATACCAAAAAGTAATATTATTTGCCAATAATAAGAAATAACAACAAAAATAATAAAAACAAATGGAAAAATTAATGAATAACATAAAACTTACTAAAACTATATCAAATTTTGTTAATAAAATCTTGATAAAAAAATTAATGAAAAGTGTTTTTCTTTTCTATAGATTAAACGTTTTTATGTTAAACGAAAAAAAAACAGTAAGGAAAGTAAAGTCAGACGGGGTCGACTATAACATCCTAACAGACGTCACATTTTGAAGTAACATTGACATGAAATTGGTCTAAATTAAATGTGTGATTTGTATCTATATTCAAAATTCCATTTCATTAGGGCAGATTTACAGTCGTTTTCCAACAATGGGACAATATTATGTAAATCGATATAAATCAAAATATTAATTGTGCTACAGCACAGCGCGATGTTTGTTATTTAATCGCAATAGGACACCAGTTCATTATTTGGTATACAATTTATTTGGTACCAATCGGCCTAAATTTTACTCTTTGGTGCATCATTTGCTAAATTGGACGAAAATATATATATACTTTTTCGTCTAAGCATTAGATAAACATTCTAAAAACTTCTCTTCATTCGTTCCCTAATTGCCCATAAGAACAACCTAAAATAAACCTTCTAAAAATATTTCATTAAATCAATTCAGTTCATCTTAATTCTTTATTTGTACCATAAACAAATGGTAGCAGAGTTATTTATAATTACCAAAAGATCTTAACGAGACCTTAACAATATAAACAATAAACATAGCATTTTTTGTAATATTTTAAACCCCTAATTTGTTGTGTGAAATTAATCTAAACTATAAATAAATACAAAAGTTATTTTCTACGTTTTCTACGTAAATTTCTATTCGACGTTGGATCGTCATCGTCGTCACTATCATCGGCATGACTATTTGACTTGTTTTGATATTGTTGCTCTTTATGTTTGAGAGATTGTTGTTGGGCGTCCCATTCTTTGCGCAATTCACTAAGCATACCGGGTGTCAGCAGACCTTGGGCAATTAGGCGATCTGTGAGGCGGCCACGGGATGTGTTTGGTATGCGGGGTTCTACAAGAAACAAATGATTATAATTTATTGAAATATTCAAATATATTTTTCATCAATAAAATACCTTTAGTTTGCACAATACGTTTCATACTGTAGGTGGTATCACCATCTGCAGCACTTTGACTGGCTTCGGTATTTTTTAATAGCCTTGTTATTTGGAATACACCCTGTTGTATAATTTCATCAAGTTCCGCCTGTGCAACTCTCACCGCTGGTGCCTCGGGGAATAGATCTGTGAAACGGTAACTAAGCCAAAGATACAAATCCATAACATCGAATACAGCTTCCAGATGCACCAGGTCAACTATTGTCTTGGGCAGCGATAGGGGCCAACCAACATTTTTCTTTATAAAATCAAATGTGATTGGTTCAGCACGGCTATATTGTCTGGCAATCTGAAGAAGTCAGCAATTGTTATTAACATAAAACAAAATGTTCAATCCTTGTGAAATACCAACCTTTAAAAACATTGAACACACAAATGGCATTTTTCTATTAATGGGAGCACAACAGAAGACATAGCGCGCCCTCAGTGGCAAAGGAACATGATGTATCATTTCTGCAAGAAATTTAAAATCCTCTATGTTACACATGAAGTATAGGGAGTCATCTACGGTGCAAAGGTTAACGAAAATATCCTTTAGATAAAAATTAAATAAATTAGAGGTTTTGATAAAATTGGTTTAGATAAATATTTTTCTTACCATTAAATTACTAAGACTGGAATTTGGTAAATGATAAGCATATAGTTCAATTTGATCTGCTGTTGGATGTAAACCAGCTTGTTTCAATGGCTCGGGTGTTTGAGCAAGTAATTTCTTCAATGTTGGCAAATCATCGGCTTTATACGTTGTAACATATCCATGTTCCCATTGGGTACGAAAACGACCAGCTCTACCAGCAATTTGTAGGGCGGACGATACGGATATAGTATCAATTTCACGTTCACCCTTTTCATTCATGGATGGTTTCACCAGAGAGTAGAAAATGATGCGCCGTATACTCCTAAAAATATAAGAAGAAAAAATATGTTATTTTCAGTGGAATAAATACTGGTTGGGAATAAAAAGTCCTATGCTAATAAATTAATTTAGAACTGTAAGATGGAAAGACAAAGATTTTTCTTCTAACTCGTGATAGATCCTAATTGAGGAAAACCAGCACAATGTAAAGATATCTGTTCCTGCCCGGGACTAGTTTAATTAAGTTCTTAATTCATTCTTCATGGATTTAATGATCATTAACAACAGACTTCGAAGAGTTTTGTTTCCTCCTATCGGCTTCGTCGTGATCATAGTAATAAAATTGGATATTTTATTCAAAATACTTTCAATTAGAAGAAAACTGAATTCTGATATACTTACAAATTCAAACCCATACCAATGGCATCGGTAGCCACCATAACTTTACAGCTATTTTCAGGATCATTAAATTTGGCAGCTTGTGCTAATTTTGTACCAGGAGGTAAGCCACCATAAATCACAGCCACTTCTTTCCCTCTGTAAATATAATAAAAATAAATTACCACACGCCTTTCAATAAAGCTCTCCTACATACCTTGCCTCAATTTCCCTTGAAACATTGTAAATATCATTTTTACTAAAACAAACTATACAGTCGCCAGGTTGGACATTATCCAAAGTTACTAAAGCTGAATCCTCTATTGTCAGTTCCGTCAGACGAGTGTAATTGTGAACTTCGACTGTTTCATTTGTGGTTTCACATATTTTCTGCAGCAATTCAAGAGAACCAGCTTCACCACAGACATGAACTTCTTCGGCTATAAGACCGAGAAACGCTCTAGTCCAAGCCCAACCACGTTGGGGATCTTTTAGCTGTTGAATCTCATCGATGACAGCGACTTCATCTGAAAAGAATTGAAGCAAAGAAAAATATTATTAATTAAAATTAATTCTCCAATTATTTACTTACATGGGGTATTAACTGAGGTCATTTCCACCGTGCAGGCTACATGTGCGGCTGGGGTATTTTCATTGATGCCAAATTTTCTTTCTTCACCAGTAACCAAATCACAAGGTGTACCCTAAAAAAGAACATATAAAAGGTAATTAACCATTGTAGTCACAGTTTCAAATAAATATGTATATCTCTTACCTTTTCATTGGCCTTATTGAACACCTCAGTTGCCAACAACTTCAAGGGACCACAGTACACCCCCGATTTGGCAGTTAAAAATCGTTGCATGGCATGATATGTTTTCCCCGAGTTTGTAGGACCAGCATGAAAGACAATTTTACGTGTTATTGCCCTAGCACTGGGATACCAATTTGCGGGTGTTCTTAAATCTGATATTTTCTTCAAATCATCCATGCAATCCAAATGAGGAAATATTGTTTTGGCATGACGTATAAAATATGGAAATATATCATCAACATGGCCGGCACCATTGAGAATATCACTAAGTGTTATATGCAAATCGACTGGCAGGTTTTCCGATTCTATGCAAAAACGACGAAATGAGGCAAATGCCTGTTGTTGTAGGTAATCTAAATCAAAACAACAAACATTAAAATTAAAATGCAATATGGTATGAAAACACATTTACTTCACTTACTATCCAACCCATTTTCCGAACACAATTGTTTTATTTCCCTTCTCTGCGTAAATTTATTTAGAATTTTCAACACAGATGATTTTTCCAATTTACCCGCCAACTCGGAACCAACATCGATTTCATCGACATTATGCTGTATAGGAACTGGTTTAAATAGTGCCGAAACATTTGCCGGTTGTTGTTTTTTATTACGTCCTCGTTGTACTCCTCCCACATTAAAACCACGAGCAGGAACAGCTAAGACACCACTTCTCAACAAATCATAACGTTTCGGTGTGGATTTTAACGAAAGGTTTTGTGTGGCCGTACATAGTAACTGAATGGTTTTTCGAGAATTTTGCATTGCTAACTAAGAAAAGCACCCTTCAAAGTTTCTTTCACCAACAATTTCATTCACCAATTTTGTGTATTTACAGGGAAATTTAAAGAATTTTGAGCACCACACAAAATAAATACGATTATATGATGCAATTAAATGTTTAATGTCAAAATGACAACATAACCTCAACATTAATAACAGCAAAAATCATATGGTAGCAGAAAGTTTGTAGGATTAGTGGCAACGTGTCGTGCTAATTTAATATCCTTTCAGAATGTTCTGTTTTGTATGTGAAAACCTGCAAAAATAGGAACCTGCAAAAAATGAAATGAAAATGTGATGAAGTAAAACGTGTATTTACAGTATCAATTTTGACATACATAAATAATGTCGTATATACAGAAAAACTGACAGCTCATATGACAATAAGTCCTAGTGTAACAACAACTGTAAATTACATATTAAAATTCTCTTTCTTACTTCGGGCTCAGTGTTGCCGAAAGTGGGCATTTATGCCCAAAAGTGGGCATAAATAATGTAAAATTTAGGACTTGGGCGGATTTTGGGCATATTTTTCGTTTCCGGCACATTTTTTCTACATTTGTTTTTCGCTACACAAATATGTTTGATATATTTTATTGTCCCAAGAGTTTGTATAACAGCCAAGACCATTCGATTTAGACATTTTTTCTGTCCGTTTGTCCTTCATAATTTGTATTTATGTAATAAACTCCTATATGTTAAAATGGACCTAAAACTTTATTTTTGTCTGTAATTCTGGTCGCTATAGAGATCACAACTATGACCCGAACAATGTTTTGATGAAGATCATTTAATATTTGGCCGGTTGTTCCAGAAATTATAGCCCAACTTTTTCCCACTATCAAATGTTACGTTACAAAATATTTAATGTTCCGGTTGAAACCTATAGTTTTCTGTAGTGTCCGATCACTATAGAAAACTATAGATTTTATATATATTTATGGGATAACGTTTACCAACATCTTTATTAATGTCTAATTCTAATCACTTCATAGACCATATGTATGATCCGAATACCATGTAATTTAACCGGGAAGTGGATCTGGGCATCGAAGAACATAACATTCTATGGTGGACATGTTTTATCCACGAACATATTAAATAAAATCATTTGTACTTTGAAATCGTTTCAACTATTTTGACTTAAGTGGTCGGTTATACCAAAATTCTCATATATGGACAAACATTCACTGAAAATGAATGTCCAGTCGTATTTGTGTTGGATATTGTATAGTAAGCCCCTTCCGAATATTCTGCTCCGCATACTGGTTTTAGCTGTGGTCTATGAAATTACTCTCTAGTGCCAAGGTGGATCATTTTTTATTATATTGTGACCGATAATTGCCCTAAATGTATATTAAGTATAAGAATTAAGGCCTTTCTTGTTTAGACTACACAGTATTTACCATTCGGTTTATATAAGGTATATGTTTTTATTAAAGAGTTGTGCCCTAGAGGCCAAATATTCGGATTTAACGCAGATTTGGTAAAATATTACGATGTGCAATCAATGCATGAAATCAATATTTACAATCGTTTAAAATGTTGGCCATCTTCGAATTTAATATAGGTTTTGTAAAAGAAGGTGGAAAGTTTGAATGAGACATTTCGTTCAACTGATATTGGATGAACAAATTTTAAAATTTTCGACATTTTGTCGGGAACTTGATTTAAATTTGGAAGAAAAATTACTATTTGCAAAGTTTGGATGAAATCCTTACTTCTTTCGAAAGATATCGTCCAGACAGACAGACGGTCACTTGTAAATGGACTCCAAATTTGGTCCAAAGACACATGGAGAGAGACTAAACGAATATTTCGATGAGGGGCTTTTTCCGCAACAAAGTACAAACTTTTAAAACAAAGAAATTACAAAATATTTAAAAATTAAAATCAATTTTTTTTTATTATTTTTCCCATATTTCTATGCCGAAAAAATAGTGTATTTTTCAGCATTTGAGAAAATTTAGAACAAAAAGGACACTTGCTTTTAATACTTAAAGTCAGTGTATAATTTTTCAACTCTTGAATTTTGGGCATAAATTGTTGATTTTGGGCACTTTTTAGGGAAAATTTGGGCGGAAATAAAATTTTCAAACGGCAACACTGTTCGGGTTTCCGGCAATTTCAATATTTATGAACATGGTATAATAATAAAAGGTAACAGCAAGTGTTGTTGTACAAAAAACGATACAACAACCACATGGAAATTTGTTGTTGTAAGTTCTACTAGTGTCAACTCATTTGACAGAAAAATGTAAACAAACAAATTATCATCAATTTTTTTTTATTTTGAAAATGGAATATTTTCGAATCCTCAAAATAAAAATTGAAAAACATGAATGAAAATCTATCAAATTTATATTTCTATCGCTTCCACATCTTTCCTTTAATTGAGCCATTGCCATATATATGGGTAACACATATAACAATGCTGGGAATAGCGAGTTATTCCTTTAAGAAAGATTTGCTTCCTCAAACTTTCCCAGCAGGCAGATTGAGTAAATTGAATATGGGAGCACATTAATAAAGAACAATTTCAAATTGTATGCGTTCCCAATTTTCCTGTTGGGTGATTTTTAAAAACATAATTTGTCAAATTCATATTGACACTGGTATTACGTTGGAATCAAATCAGCTGGGATTTGCTGTTAACTTTTATAATTGTACCATGGTTTATGAATGAGCTATTTTTATACCCTTCACCACACTGTGGTACAGGGTATTATGTCTTTGTGCATATGTTTGTAACAGGCAAAATAATCGAGATAGACCCATGGTTCCTTTTGAGAATATGCATAGAATCACTTTCTAAGTCGATTTATGCATGTCCGTCCGTCTGTCTGTCCATGTTAAATTGTAAACAAAGTACAGGTCGCATTTATGATCCGAATTGGATAAAATTTGGCACAGCTCATTTGTTTGGCCCAAGGACGAACCCTATTGATACGATCCCAGATTTAGATATAGCTCCCATATATATTTTCGTCCGATTTAAGGTAAATGGTACAGCAAAGTCCCTATATATCTTTCGATTTGCCGAAATTTGGCACAGTGTAATGAATAAGGTCACGAATGATGTGTGCAAAGTTTCGCGAAAATCGGTTCAGATTTAGATATAGCTCCCATATATATCTTCGTCCGATTTAAGGTAATTGGTGCACCAAAGACCCTATATATCTTTCAATTTGCACGAATTTGGGTATAGGGTACTGAATTAAGTCTAGAATGGTGTTGCTAAGTCTGCTTTTCCACAGGCAGATTTTTATTTGGCAAATTTTTTGTTTTCTCTTTTGAAATTTTCGCTTGCTTTTCCATTAGCAAATTTTTCTTTGCCAAATTTGCGAATCAAAATACAAAAGAAAGAAAATAAAAGTCAAATATGTTTGCATTTTAAAGATTTTTTTAATATTTTATTTATTTTTTATATATTTTATTATATAAATTGCAAAAATTAAAAAAATAAATTTCACTTGCACAAATTAAAGCAACAGGTTTGTAAACAAAAGCCGGCTGTGTGTCAGTAAAGCGAATAGGTTCAAAAGAAAATGTCAACAAAATTGTTTTCAACGAACAGAGCAAAGCTGAATTTGCGTGTACGGCAAATTCTGAACAGGCAAATTTTTGTTTTTCTTCCTCGCACCCCTCTCGCCCACAAACTCAGTATTTCCCTGTGGAAAAGCAGACTAAGCTTCGTGAAAAGATCCATAGCTAGGCTGATTGTCACAACATACTGATGTTATATAAATTAGTCTCTGGCAAGTTTCCCTGAAACCGGCTCAGATATAGATTTATAACAAAACGCGTCGTCTGTTAGGATACATATGTAAAATATACCCAAAGTGGTGAAGGGTATCATATAGTCGGCCCAGTCCGACTTTACTATTTTCCTTACTGGCTTTAATATGCTTTAATAAATTAATTTTTGTTAAAACCACACTCAACAGATAGCTGTTTAGACACAAATTAAATTAATATAAACTTGACTTGTCAGCTGTTATTTTCTTACACATTTCGTAGGTTTCATAACTCTTTGACAGTTTTTCAAACAAATATAGGAAACATACCAAAAAGTGGGCCTATAGCGATAATTTAACAAACGGATTTATGTAAACCATCATGTACACCAAATACACATTTCAGCAATTTTTAATGGGGATTTTTCCTAAAATCTGAAAACCCCAAAACGTTGACTGATACTGATAACGCATGGTAGAGTATAAAATCATCAAACTATTGCAATTTAGTTTACAAGGTAATATGAGGCTATTGCCATGTACAGACGAGCGTTGTTCGCTCTCTCATTCGTTGTTCGACCCTTAATTATGAAGTAATTACTTAGTTCCCCATACAAAATTGTCTGAGCCAAGGTAGATATACAAGGTAGCCGCATCGGCGAATTTCTACAACAAACATCGGTTGTTGTATTTTGATATGTCAAAAATATTTTGCCAAAACAAACAGATTGACAAGATTTTTTTACACAAATTCTTGTAGAAAATGTTAATAGAAGTATTGCCAAAAAAGCACTTCGAAATTCGGAGATTTTCATTTATAATTTTGTTTTTTAATTTTTTGGTTCAACATTACAACAACATTTTTGACATTTATTTGTCCAACAGCTGGGCCGATGCGGCTACCTTATTAAATATACCTTGGTCTGAGCGAACACCTACTTTTGTACGTTGTTCAATTCGAATCACTCTCTGAATCACCAAGAATTTTGTCCCATCTCTAGCAATTGAGAGAATTTATCGAAAATAAATTAATTTTGACAGCATGAACAAATTTTTTAAATTTTCAAATTTTTTCAGTAAAATTGAAAATGATGAATGAAAATTAAACAAAATTCTAGTTTTTATATATGCAGAAGGATGCAAATTTTGTTGTCTACATGATGCAATATGCATTTCTTTCCCCTTTGTTCTAATTAGCGTACAAGACGAGAGACAAAAGTGGGGAAACCCGAACAAAAATTCTCCAATTTTTTTTTTAAATTTGACATTTGAGGTGAGAAAATATAAAAATGTATTGAAAATAACAATATTTTCAGGAAAAATGGAAAACATGAATTAAAAGTAAAGATATAGGGGTTGATATTATAGTCAGGAGAAAGAGAATAATGTTTTCTATTTAGATCCATATGTGATTCACGCAAATACGTTACAATTTTAGTGTAAAACAAGAAACAAAAAGTTTGAAATAAATAAACTCTGATGGCATGAATTAAGAATAGTGTTGTATGAACGGGTTAATTCGTGTACGTAATTCGCAGAGCGAACTACGTTGTTCGAATGCCCGTCAGAACATGGCATTAGATTACAAGGTAATATGAGGCTATGCCTACAGGGAGACCAATATTTGGTCTGTTCCCGTATTGCAAGAATCAACGAGTTTTTACTATTTTTTTCGATATTATAAAGGAAAACATTGTTATCGTAGTAAAAAGTAGTAGATTCTTGCAGTACGGGAACAGACCAATTGATTACATAGTGCAGGAATTATAGTATGTTTACATTTAACCGGATTTCGTTAACCCAGTGGGTTTCAGTTGTCAATTCCTTTGCATATATGTCAAATAAATCCTCATAATGTAGTTTAACCCGGTAAAAAGTTCTAATGTATATGCCGTTTTAGTGAATATTTGGGCTATACCTAATAATGAGGTCTATACCTAATTAATGACCGATATATGTCAATTTCGAACCCAATATTTTAGCTTTGTTTTTCAATTATTTCCTTCATGTTATTGGAGAGATGCCTAAATGGTGGCCGATATATTTCATTATCATCAAGTTCGAGTTTTTTCATCACGATATAGTCTTACCCTAAAAGCGGCAAATATTAATAATTTTTCGGAAGCTACCAAATTACAGCGAAATCGGCTGATAAATGCGCTCAAGAACCCCAAAATACCAAAAAAAACAAAAAATATGGGTACCCGAAAAAAATTACTTATATAAAATTTTTAATGGAGAGATTTGCTCCCCAATAAGAACTAAATTACAATTCGGTCGAAAAAATGCGATAAAATGGGTATGGGGGCTACCAGAAAAAGTGGGCATATATTTATAATTTTTAGTTTTGGAGATTTGGAACCCAACAAGAACCCAATGTACAAAATTTGCAAAAGCAAAATTTATATTTCCTCTATACTATGGTGGAGGGTATAAAAAGAAGCGGAACTTTTAGGTGGGATTAAACATGGACCAATATACCCGCACCAATTGGTATATAAGTCAGCATTCCAGAACCCGTTACAAAAAATGACAGCCCCATCTTTTGGAAAATAAGGCTAAAAGTCTTCGAAATAACAAAAATGGTATGGTACCGTTCTATAAAATCTTAATTCCGAAGTTTGAGATGTAGCATTATATGGGAGCGTAATCAAGCTCCCCAAAAAACAGATCTTTGAGATGTAGCGTTATATAATGGCTTCCCCATTCCCCCAAAAAAATTTAAATTAAAAGAAAATTTTGGTCGCGTAGCCCAATTACCCACCTCTCCATAGTAGAAGGTATTAAATCCCCGGCTGTAGGCCGGCTATTTAGGAACACATTTAAATTTAAAGAAAATTTTGCTTGCGTAGCCCAATTTTCCACCTGTCCATAGGAGAAAGTCTTAAGCACCGGCCGATGCCCATCTCCTTAACAAAATTTAAATCTAAAGAAAATTCTATTCGAGTAACTCAATTTGTACTATTTATTACTGATTGGTTATTTATAAGTTACTTTTTATCTAGTGTAAGCAATAATGTACTTTACATTGGAAAGAACGTTTATACGCGTTCCGAAGTACGAATCCGCCCCTAAAAAAATGTTGTAATCAGCGTCCTTTCGGAGCTGCTGTAAAAAATTTAATCGTTTCGGAGTGGTATTCTTAAATATATTTAATAAAAAGTGGGGGTATTTTTTTACTTTGCAACCGCATATCTCGTGAAGTACTGATTTATGTTGCTGTAATCAACATCAGAAGGGCTACCTATGGTAAACATTTCACAATGATCTGAGAGGTGCCCCTAAAGAGCATTTGTTCCAAAATTATTTTCATTTCTATTAAATTTAAATACATTTCAATATAATTTTAATTTATTTTATATAGTATTCATAACAATACAATACATGGGTGGATATAAATGTAGTATTACTACCGCAGTCGATTTATATATCCCTTGAAACTCTTATACTATCAGCTGATTTCAATATGTGTCCATGTCTACATCTCACTTATTCGTAAACACACAGGTAAAATAGCCATTTTATTTTGTGCTTGTCTTTTATTGGCCATTCGTGTTTATCACCAACATTCGTACCATTTGGAACGTTTTTAAAAATTGTTTGGTGAAAGAAAACAAACATTTGGCTGGTCGCTGGTAGTAAATGAGTCACTTGGATAAAACATTTTAAATTGCTGCGAACTTCTATACAATAGAATTATTTAATTACCGTAAAAATGGGTTTATTCGGACAGACAAAAAGCAAAGATCCCAAAGAACAGGTAAGCTCGCACGATTGTTACGAAGAGACAACTTCGATTTCTCCAAAACGATATGCAATAGAGGTTGACGACGAGATGACGACATCATTGCACTTGAGATCGAGGCAAAACAAAATAACAATAACAAACCATTTCTCATGTAGGTTCAAGAATGGACCCATAAAATACGCAAAGAAAGCAATCAATTGGACCGGCAAATACGCGGTATACAACGCGAAGAGGAAAAAGTCAAGAGGTCATTGAAGCAAGCGGCTGCCAAGGGTGATCGGGATACTTGTGTCATTCTGGCCAAGGAAATTGTGGGAGCACGTAAAGCCATCAATAGAATATACACGACAAAGGCTCACTTGAATTCTGTACAACTGCAAATGAAGAATCAGTTGGGTAAGTATTTGGGTACTACTTTCATAGGATGTGAGTACTAATGTATATTCAATGTTTATAGCCACATTACGTGTTGCTGGTTCACTTTCAAAATCCACGGAGGTCATGCAAGCTATGCAAAATCTTGTACGCTACCCTGAATTGGCTGGCATTATGCGTGACATGTCCAAGGAAATGATGAAAGCTGGTATCATAGAGGAAATGTTAGACGAAACTATGGATAGCTTGGAAGATACTGAGGAGATGGAGGAGGAGGCTGCCAAGGAAGTCGATAAAGTCCTTTGGGAAATAACCGATGGCAAATTGGGTGAAGCTCCCCTACCTCCGCAAGAATTGGCTGCCGCTGAAAAAACAAAAACACCCGCCGTTGCTGTTGCAGCAGATGATGTCGAAGATGACGACGACGAGGAAGATTTGCAAGAAATGCAATCTCGTCTTGCCTCTCTACGGTCGTAAAAAATAGAGGCTACTCTGAATCGAATAATACGCTAAGTTCTATGCACTTTGCCTTTCAAGTAGCTTTGATGAATGTCGATATTAAACCATATGTTTTTATTTTGTTTTAAAGAAAATTCGGATCTCTGAGTTTATGCTGTACTAATCCGAAGCAACTATTTTGGTTTTTATTAAGTTCGTATGCATATGTCATGTAGTGTGCAAATATTTTGTTTCATTTCTATTATCATTATTTTTATTTACATACATATTTTAGTGAGTTTCTAAACCAAATTTAACTGGCTTAATTTTCATCGTGTTTTTTTATATATATTAAGTATTTAATATTTTGTAAAATAAACAACTAAATTAATAAAATTAATATTTATTAGAAAATCAAATTGCATTTGAAATACTTCACGTTCAAAGATATTTAGTTAGAATTGTGCAAATTTTAAAATTCGTCATGATACAATGTTTATTGTTTTTTTAGTCTGCATTAATGATTGCCAGTTTGAGACAATTTGTTTTGTTTACATGGCACATTTATCGATGTATCATGTGACATCTGTTAATTATAAAGGTTAAATACTGTTGACGATGTTGTTTGTACTCTTACCAGTTATATTTTTAAATTTGTATGTAACATGAAGAAGTAAACAAAATTTAATCACTTGGGGACATACTGTTATGTTGCGTCCTTGGTTCCACCCATCCAATTATTTCTATAATCAATATCAAACAATGTAGGCTTGTTTCTGTAAAATATTTTATTCATTTTTTCATGTTTTTAAATATTTTGACTTTTTTTAATTTAAAAATTATAAATTGTTGAGCCCAAAGACAATGAAAATTGCGTAAAAGCTTGTTACTAAAAGAAGGTAGTTGATAACTACGAATCCTGAACCTTCTGTCGAAAAGGATCAAGAAGGTGCTAATTTACCGTCATAACCTATTTCAAAATAAAAATAGTGTTTCGTTTTGTTGAAAAAAAAATATCACAGCCGATATCCATTTTTTGAGAAATTATGAAAGTGAAGTCTTGGAAGATTGTCATACATATTCCGAAATTAGACTAATGCTGCAAAAATAAGGTAAGGTTTGGCATATTTGCATACTTTTAACGAATTTTAAGAAGTTGACTTTGGGCTTGATTTCGGAATCGAAAATCATGACTTTAAATATTTAGGGAACAATCGTGAATTTCAATTAAGGCAAACATCAATTTTACGGAAATGCAATACAAACACGCCAAAAAAAAAATAAATTTTACCAAAGATAATAAACGTTTCGAAAACATTAGTCGTCCCACAAACGTTTCTCTTATCGCTAAAGATAATGTTATTTGTGAGATACTGTCTTTGAAAGACAGAATAATATATTGCAGTGCAATATTTTTTTACAAAATGATGAGTTATAGGACAATTTAGTAACATTGTGTTCTTGTTTTTTGCCATTGTCATCAGTTTTCAAACATTACAATTATAAAGATTGCTGCCGACTATTGGAAAATAATATCCAATTATCGACAGGAGTTAATAAACTCTTTTGAACGATTTAAGAATTTAATTTAAAAACTATGTGTAAAATCATTCAAAATTTTTTTTATATATTGAAAATTATTGTTGACCTTTGAACCTTTTTTATATTCCTTTTTATAACCTTCCCCACACTGTGGTACAGGGTATTATGTGTTTGTGCATATGTTTGTAACAGGCAAAAGGATACGATCCGAATTCAATTTGGCAAGGCTCATTTATTTGGCCCAAGGACAAACCCTATTGAAATTGGGAAAAATCGGTTCAGATTTAGAAATAGCTCCCATATATTTGTTAGTCTGATTTTATGTAAATGGTGCACCAAATTTCCAGAATTTGTCCGATTAAGATAAAATGTTCCATATGTTGAGTTTTGTTAAAATCGCTTAAAATTTAGATATATATTGGTCCGATTTGGTGAACGTGCACCAAACTCCCAAGAGATGGCTGATGGTACAAGTACGGATTTGCGTATGTGTAACTGTTATAAAATCGGAGCAGATTTAGATATAACTCCCATATAAATATTCGTCCGAATTTATGTAAATGGTGTACCAAAATCTCATGTTTTGACAATAAGATATGTTATGTCTGGTAGAAATCGCCACATATTTTTATATATCTCTCGAATATATTTTTGCCCCATTTTATCTAAATGGTGCCCCAAATATCAGTAGCAAATTGACCCCAGATGATGTTGGTGTAGATACCGTTACAGCTCCAATATATTTTGTTTGATAGATTTCAACGGGAGATGACATATTGCACAGTGCGTTGTACTGAATCATACCCCATAGCGGGTGTCAAGCTTGCTTCAAATCTTCGCTTGACTTTCCTTACTGCTTCGTTTGACTTTCCTTACTGCATTTTCCTTAAGAAACATGAATAATCGCTTTTTTAATTGCTCTTGGCTCTTTGGGCTAGATTCTCGTATACGAAAATAAATTGAATTGAAAATGCTATATGTTTCCTGTACTTAGCTTAATGAACTTTTACACAGAGATAGTTATGATATTTTTGAAGATTATTCAAGGTATTTACGTTAGGTTGAAATGAGGAGTGGTTTACGCCACCATATGTCCAATATATCGACGCCTCCGAACCATAGTATGCTAAGTCTGAAAAGTGAGTTTTTCAGTAGAAGCTTTCAAAGTATGGAAGTTTCTTAAATCGTACGTGCCATGCTAAGTACATTTTTGCTTATAACTTTGGTTTGGATTGACCGATGATTATCAAAATTTCAGTGAATTTAAATTAAGGACCGTAGTATCTAAAAACGTAAAGAACTTTAAAACATGCTAAGTCCCCTATATATTTAACTTTATTTTATATGCTTTGAAGATAGGTTCTTCCTACTGCCCTATTTTTGTCTTTCTAGTGAAGAGACATAGAAATCTCCGTCTTGGCCGGATTTACGTTAAGGCCCCTCGGCCTCGCACAATTATAGGCGATGTTTAACACTTTTTCCTTCTTCCTACACAACAAGTTAGAATTCTTTCCCATCAGAAGTATTAAAATGTCGTCTGCATAACAGGCGGGTTCAATTCCCACCTCAGTCCTTAACAGACTATTGATAGTGGAAACATACAACAATGTTTATAAAAATTCTTGCGAAGTTCCTTGTCCTACTTTATCTCTCATATTTATGTCTTGAGCCAGGATATGATTGCCTGGTAAACTCGAAAGGTCTCTACGGATTGTATAAGCGTTTTAGTGCCGACATTATTGAAAGCTCCCTCGATATCAATGCACACATCCAAAGTAAACATTTTCGTCTCGAAGGTGTTTACAAAGGGGAGTACCAATTCGTGCAGAGCAGTTTCCACTGATGTTCCCCTTACGTGTTGTACTTTAGCGTATCGGGGGGTATATTGCTCTTTATCATGGTGCCGACAATCCGTTTCATAGTTTGGATTAAGAAAGAAGTTTGGCTTATTGGCCGATAGGAATTTGGTGTTGCGTAGTTTTCCTTTGTAACGACAAATTGGGATGCTGGGATATGCTCGCGGGATAGGGTTCGTCGCAGAAAATGTATAATAAAGTGGCCGAGAGTGAAAAAATGTAATTTTAGCTTTCAAATTCAGAATATTCGCTTTATTTTCCTCCGCTGGTGATCTTTCCTGTGTTCTCGACCTTCTTGCTATATCGACCGTTCTGCACCGACTGATCCCGAGCCGGGTTTGGCTCTTCCTTTTCCACACTCGGTCGCAAATTCCAGCATGCTTCCAGTCGCCTTCCCGACGTCGAACCTCTGCTGCCGCGCCGACCACGTAGCCTCTCTGCTAACGGGAACTTGTTTACAAACATAGTGTCAATGTTAACGGGAATATAACTTAATGTCAACTAAATCGTTCGGGCACAACTGTACTCTATTTTGTCTAAACTTATTCATTAAAATACTTTTAGCAATCTTAGATTTTTATCCTTATTATTATTATTAAACAAAAATAAACTAAATCTACGGTTCACAATTTAAATGTTAAATAATAAAGTTTGTAATTAAAAAGAAATTAAATAAAAATAAAAAAATAATGTTAACCCAAATTGTTGGGGCAACAATGAGGGATGATTTTTGTCCTCACACCTGTCCCCTTCTTAACGCGACTGTACGACGGCCAATCCACGGTGGGTTATGTGAATAAGGAATCTGCTTCTGTCTACCATCACCAGCAGTTTAGATTGGTAACCTGGGCGGCGTGTGGCTAGAACGTTGGCCACCAGCGGCTCTAGCTGCCGGCAGCTTCTCACCACCGACGAAGCTCCACGTGGCCTCTCCACGCTCGTTCTTTGGTGGAGCATCACCTTGATACGAGTAAAATTAACCCAAATAGGGGGGGCAACAATGAGGGATGATTTTTGTCCTCACACCGCTCCCTTTCCTAACGCGGCTGTACGACGGCCAATCCACGGTGGGATATGTGTATACGGAATCTGCTTCTGTCTACCATCACCAGCAGGTTAGTTTGGTAACCTCGGCGGCGTGTGGCTGGAACGTTGGCCACCAGCGGCTCTAGCTGCGGACAGCTCCTCACCACCGACGAAGCTCCACGTGGCCTCCTCACGCTCGTTCTTTGGTGGAGCATCACCTTGATACGACTCCAGTGAGGAGGTGTCAAACGAGATCACCGAGGACGGTAATCGCAGGGGCGATGGGGACGTCGAGGAGGATGACGTTGAATTGATATATATGGTGGATCCCTGTCCCCCACGCCCAAGGGTCAACGGCAACCAGGCGTTGGTCATGTTTTCGTCTGCCTCCGACGACGACGCGCTGTCGATTATGACCAGCGGTTTTTTCCTGGGTGGTAAAATTGCCACTCCATCACCTTCTCGAAGGACCGCCGTATGTGTTCCTCATGACGCCATGGACCCACAGATTCCGGGGAGATGTTTGGCGTAGCAGGTCGGGGTACACCTTTCGGTACAAATGACTTAAATTCACTCAGATGCGCCCGAACAAACACGGGCGATGGAAAATTGAGGACCTCGTACGGACCATCATACTTTGGCGCCAACTTCGCTGCAAAACTGTGCACTGCCTCACCAAAACCAAATATATTATAATGTCTGCGTTGGTCTTCGTCTGACTT